CATATTCCTCTCAGGATCCTTCGTTCAAATATAAGCAAAAGGTCTTCGTCTGCCTTGGAGATGGTCCATGTCTCCGATCCATATGTCAACACTGGCTGTATAAGGATTTTGTATATAGTTATTTTTGTTTTTTGGCTTAAGTTTTTACTTCTCATATGTCTACTCAGTCCAAAATAGCATCTGTTTGCCATTACTATCCTTCGCTTGATTTCTTCCGTTCTGGCGTTCTCTTTGGTGATCAGGGAGCCTAAGTATGTGAATTTGTCAACCACTTCAAAGGTAGAGTTATCAACCGTGAATTGGGGACCGATGTTCCTGGCTCTATTGTTGGGTGTTGATGCCATCATCTTAGTTTTCTCCTCATTTACTTGCAGGCCCATAGATTTTGAGGCATTTGAGAAGGTGGTATACATTTCTTCTAGCTTGCGTGTTGTGCGGGCAACTAGGTCCACATCATCTGCATATGCCAAAATTTGGGATGATTTATTAAAAATATTTCCTCTGTTGTCTATTCGGGCATCTTTGATCGTCTTTTCCAGTGCTATGTTGAAAAGGAGACACGCCAGCGCGTCTCCCTGTCGCAGCCCAACATGCGTTCCAAACGCCTGTGATTGTTCGCCCTGTATTTCGACTTTGCAAACCACATTACGCATTGTAGCCTTAACCAATCTTATCAGTTTATCGAGGATAAACTGATTACAAACAATTAAATTTTAATTAACAATTAAATTTTCTTTTTTCTATATATTAACAGTCACATAGAAGTATTAAATAGTTTCATGTACGGTCTTGTGTTCTTTACTAAAATCACATGAAGTCCAAATAATATTTAGCAACAAGTAACTGGAAGAACTCAAGATTCCCGTTTTTCACTTAACAGTTCTATGCAAACAGTTCTATGCAGTCCACAACAGTTGCTATGCAAACTAATCAACATCTAAATATAGATCATAAGTTCCCCATTAGTGGACACATTTACATCGAATGTGCTGTCATATACAATCATATTTCTCATCCATATGATTGGTACCAACTTGTTAGTTCTGTAGGAAAAAAGAAAACATTTAGCGTGGTAGAATTGACCCATTCATATTTCTTAAATTTTGCCGATTTTCTTAAATCGAATCTCCAACTTAGGAAAAAAGACAATGAAGGCAATGTATTTAATTGGCACTCAGTCAGGAGGTTTTGATATACTCGCGAATTTAGAAATGTTTATTTCAAACAGAGTTATAAACACGATATTTCTTTCAAGTGTATAAGTCTTATCCGGAGGGGACCTCCAAATGTTCAGCGAAATCCAACCAAATGTTATACTTCTACTTTACCCATTTCAAAAGAAAAGAAAAAAGATATATTGGATCTCTTACCACTAATTTCTCCTACATTTCATGATTTTTATAGAAATCTCAAGACAAATGACATGCCTGATGCTTTTCCTGATGGAGATGATTCGGACAATTGTGACGAAAATACTTAATATGTGTTTTTTATTTAAGTTTTTAAATTACTTTAATGTTTTTCTATTTACGTGATATAGTTCCAAATAATATATGTTAATTTAGTTTAGTGGTCAATATAATATATACTTAAGTAAATAATTTTTTCTAAAGTAGCTTAGAATTGGCTTCAATCCTACATTTAGGTAATATGCTATAAGTTTTTTTTAATTATATTTGGTTTAAAATTTGTTTAGATACATCTTTCAAATAGTATAATGCCATTCCTCTTAAATTAAGATTTTTGACTTTTTTTCCGGGCAGCCTAAAATTATTCAGGAGATTATGCGCAATGGCAGGAGTGTGTCACCAAATTCACCAAATTTTGTATTTTTTTTTGTGTAAAATAAAGATAAAAATAAGCGTAAAAAGTCCACCAAATTTTGTGAAAAATGTTTGAAAAGTTTTTTCACTTTTTACCGTTTTTAAAGGGTTCTGCTCTGGTGTACATATTGAAAACCGGTTCATAAACCTACCGTACAATGTCTTATTTCATCCCAGAGTTTTTCAAAATCCGTTTTTCTTCTTTCTGAAGAACATTCATCCCTGTATATAAGTAAGATTCACCAAATAAACATAATATCCTCTCGTATCTTAAATAATCCGTACATCAATGTTATTTTGTGCGTGGAAGATATATATTTTAGCAAAAAAAACCTTTAAAGATCAAAAACGTCCAAAATAAAATGCTAAAGTATTTTCAAAGTGCCAAGTAAACTGGAAAAACGCGAATATGTGGAAGAGAGTTAAATATATGGAATCATAAAAGTGGCAATAAACCGTCCCTTTTCTACTAACGGGATATTCTTTTAAAATTCGCGTAGCCGCAAAATACTAATCAATATTTACATATTTTTATTTGGAAATTGTGCCAAAACTGAATAATCTTTTTTTATTATTTAGAAACACACAATAAACGTACATTATTAGTGGAGTAACGTACAGATTACACAAGGATTGGATTTATTTACATTAAATAGACGCAATAAACATAAATACCTAAGCTATGGATGCTAAGAATTATTCATATGAACCAATTCAACAAATGCCCTTCAAATTTCCAGAATGCAAAAGAAATCTATCTACGTGGGGAGTTGCCTGTCTCCCATTGGACGCGTCTCTAGGTGGTGGTGTAACCGTTTCAAAAGTTTTAGAAAATTCAATATAAATTGGAATATTTTTTTTTATAATGAAACTACTAACCCCATCTATTTGCCAGATGTTTGTATTCGACTCAAGGTCCTACATTATTTCTTAACATATCCGATGAGGGCGAACGATATTAAGCTTGTCGGTCACGCCTTCATTTCAAACCGCGAAATAGTTTCGTTGTTCTTTCTTGTTGCAATCGTTCGTTTGATCGGACCTGTGTTTCGAATGAGTTCCTAAATTAGTGACTCTTTTTCCGGGAGGTTAAACTTTCAATGATTATGTTAAATTAACTGGAACATTTTCCGACAGTCCAATACTTACTATAATATGGCTTCCAATAATTACATATAATACAAATGGATCCTTAATATTAATTATCTGATGGAGTAGTTAAAATTACATATAATACAAATGGATCCTTACTATTAATTATCTGATGGAGTAGTTAACAGATGGACGGAAACAAGATACCTCTTCTTCTTTGATTTTCCGGAGAATGGATAAATAAGGTTGTACCCTTTTTTTATTAAGCCCTATCAAGAGCGAGAATTTTCCTTATGGATTCATAGAGATAAAATATTGGAATATCTTAATTTTATTTAAAGTTTTTTTTTACTTAATATGTTTAATTAATATTTACTTACTATTATATCCTAAATGTGAACAAATTTCGAAATTTGGGAAAGAAACATAGTTTCATTTATTATTAATGATCAATTTTTGATTTGCTACGATATGTAGTTGTTCTTTTATTTGTAATAATACAATTCCATTTATTATTAACAACCAATTTTTGATTTACTACGATATGTAGTTTTGTTTTTTTTTTTGTTATTAATAAAGTCAATAAGAAACGTATGTTTTTTATAATTTTCAGTTTTAGTACAAGCAACCAGTAAAGTAGAGTATAACTTAATAATAACTCCTGTTATTTGACTTGGTTTTCACAAGTGTCTAGTTGACACATTTCTAATTTTTAGATAGCTATGTTGTATTTCTTTATGGAACTTTTGATGTTCTTTGAATATATAATTTTATTTGCAGCACATAGTGCCAAACAATAATCTTAAACAAAAACACTTTATGACATTTTACAGCTTCATTAATTTTTAATAATCAATTCGTGATTGGATAAGATAATTAGTTGCTTTGTTTATATTAAATCCAACATGAAGTAATATGCAATGTTTATGAATAATACAATTTTGAATGTCTCTTTTATTACTGAATTTTGATTTCCTTTTATACTCGCTTCCTCGAGTTAAAATACAGGATGGCGCCCAGCGATAATTTATTATTTCATGTTATCTAGTCGTGTCTAATTTTTCGAAGTATTACGTAGTTTCTTATTTCTTATTTACATTAGACCGTACCCTACCATTTTCTCCGACTATAGCTATCGTGGCCTTGAGCTGATGTGTAATTAGATGTTCCAAATAGGGACGTTACAGTGGATAGGCGAATGCCCTAACCGGTCATGACACCGGTGGGTAGTTGGGAAATAAAAATACCAACCGCCAACCAAAACAGACTAAGGTCCGTACAGAAGAGTCTCTAGTTCTCCAGGTTGGGGGTTGAGCTAGAGGCTGACAACCTCTTCCTGTAAAAAAACATGTTACGGAACCTCAGGATTTATTAGCCTGAAGGAACTCACGACGACGACTCTGCAAAAGAAAGATTAGGAACACGGAATACCCGAACCCTGTATCGAAATGGAGCAATCACATCCTTACTAGACATAGTGAACACATACAAAGTATATGTTTTAGCACTGCAGAAAATAAGGTGGACGAGAACTTGCACTCTTGATAAGAGATCCCATTCCATATAATATAGCTGCAATGAAAGCCAACACATAGATGGGATAGAATTTATTGTAAACCGAAGAACAAAAGGCTTAATTTTTGACTTTTAATCAAAGAATATACTATTTGCGCATAAACTGGGAATTCTGGAAATACATACCGAAATCGACACTACTTACGAATAAATCCCTCTAAATTGCGTGTGTCAGATAAAAATTGCCTTAACTATAACAATTACAATATTTTATCAAAAAATATTATTACACAAACATTCTTATGGGACTCCATGTTTTACGGATAGAAAATCAAGAGATGACCTTTAGACACTACCGCCTGATATCTGCTAAATAGGTAAGAAGTTATAAGCTTAAGGGGAATACCTCTGAGTCCATAGTAAATTCCAAGCCTTCGACAAGTCTCAAAGAGAAATTGTCATGCATTGTCGGGTTCAAGCCCCTAAATCTCCCCACTGAATAATCGCTTTGATAATAAAGAGAAATCTGCTAAGCGAAATTATTATTTTCTAGATATAGAAAAAACTTACTTGGTATTATTAACATTTTGCCAGGATCCGTCGTTAAGGGTAGCATTTTCTGGAAACGGTGGAAGCTGAACCTCATTGAATACCTGAAAACCACAAAAAAATGTGAAATTACACAAAAAAATACTTGTTAATAACTTACATATTCGATTAGTAACAAAAAATGCATGCATGTTAAAAGGACGTAGTAAGAGTAACGAAGACATTTAGAAAGCAATCAAATTGTCACCTTCTTATAAGATTTATGAGCAATATTGGGCTATCCAGTGATATTTGCACTATTAAAATTTTTCAATATTTACCGTTTTAAGTGCAAAAATGGAAAATTCGCTGGTTCAATGCACGTTTTAATATGAGGAGCTTAGAAGCTAAGGGGTAGAAGTGCAATTTTAAACAAAATGGAGTTAAGTACACTAAGTAGTTGCTATGGAGTCAAATATTGTTGTGGCAAAGGGATACAAGCGTATCACTGTACAATGCTGTAATCTAGCGGATGGTATAAGTACTACCTCAAACATTAGCTGTTTTCCTAAGAAGCCAAGAGATACATTGCTAAAGCTTTGTGCCCTAGAAATAAATGACAGGACCCTGGATTACCTGGCCTTTCGGCATACAACCGTTAGCGCACGCCACTACCCCTACGAGTCCGACACAGGTACGCAGGTGGTGGAATACCCCCTCGCGCGTAGACAGGTCGCCGCCAAGGAATCGCTCCTCTACCACTCGTTAATCATTCCGAGGTGTGGTACGCGCCAAGTGTCCCGCTCCCCCTTCCGCGGTGTCAGCTTCCGGAGGTGCATACGTACCCGGCTCTTCAGGCAGGGTCTTCTGGCCCCGGCCGTATTCTTATCTCCTCGAGCCGGAAGGAGAGCCAAGAGATTCAAGCGCCACTTGTACCCCTTGGCCTCCAACTGACTGTCATCAGAGTTGTTTGTTGTTGAATGTTGTACACGCTTGTCGACACTGTTGCTGTCGTATCTTTTAATTCAAACTTTACCCATATTATTCTACGATAGTATCCAAAGTTTTGCTACCTTCCACATCGAAATCCATAACTGTAGATACGGCTGTAATACAAATATCCCTAATGACAAATGCCAATCTACTTTTAACAGTTATTGGGGATTTGGAAACTGGGACCTTCAAGCTTCTTTTTTATGTTCTTAGCATTCAGTATCTTGCAAGAAAAAACCTTATGCGAGCTATATAAAGTAAACAAGATGGACTTATACATTAGAAGGGTATAGAGTATGTAAGGCTTTTTTTATGAAAACCCTTGATGTCAGTAATAAACAAATTACTAATGTTATATTGAAAAAAATAACCAGCACAAACTCGGTTTCTGACAAGGACCAAAGAGGCCGTAAAGCTCCATCGAATAAAACAACAGATAAAACCATTTACTTAATCAAAGAGCACTTAAAGTCGCTTCTAAAGTACAGTAGCCATTATTCTAGGATTAGATCTCCAAATGTGAAGTATTTGAGCGTTGAACTGACAATGAAAAAAAACTACACTTTGTATGTAGAGCTGTGTATGAAAAAAAAACATAAACACTGCGAAGGAACGTTACTATATGTATTTTCCGTACTAATTTTAACCTTTTCACTCAAGAAACCTCACAACGCTAAGTTTGACAAATGTAACACACTAAAGAATAATATTAATAATGGTGTTGATCCAGAAAGAGTTGCAACAGCAAAAATTTAAAAAGAATTACGCTTGCGCAAGGCACAAGTTGCAAAAAATGTAAAGGATGATGATGCATCGACTTTCAACGATGACCCAACTACAGTAGTTGTATGTTTGATTTACAAAAGATGCTTCCAACTTCTAGTTGAACCTGTAAAAAACCATACTATGGCCGTCAACTTTGAACTTATAATTTTTGTATGCACAATGTTTGCACTGGACAGGCACAGATGTTTTTGTGGCATAAAGGCCAAGGTAAGCGTGGTTGCAACGAAATTGCTCCTGCCTTTGGAAATACATCCAGACGCTGTCACCAACCGTTTAGCGCATAATTCTGTACAGTGATAACTGTGCTGGTCAAAACATAAGTCAATATTTTGCAAAGTTCTGGCATTATGTAGTCCAAAAGACACAAATTAATACTATCGACCACAGGTTTTTGGTCAACCAAAGCGCCATTTTTTTTTTACCAGCTGAACATAAGTCCTCAAGAGTTGGTCGACCTCTTAACGAACTCCCGTGATTAGCAGCAAAAGGAGAGAAGCCAAAAATTAAGAAACTTAAATTTGATAACTTACAGTCGGTTTTGCCATACGTTTCTCCTATCTATTACGACTTCTGCAACACCTTACAATATGCTAATGGGCCTAACAATATTCCTGTCGAAGTTAACCAGAATGCTGTTGTTCCCCCAGATGCCGAAGAGACAGGAAACATTTTTGATAGAGAGTCAGAAACTGATTAGTTATACTTCAGGAATGGTAGTATTACTGATTTAAACAGTTTTTTAACTCATTATGTTGATGATTTTGTGTTAAATTACATTATTTTCACCACAGTTATATTTTTTACGCAATCCAAATTTTTATATACACAACAAACCCAAAGGGTTCAGTCAATATCTGGTTCTTTTTTTGGAAGCAAGGGGTACAAGTGGTTACTCTTATCACCTTATCAAGGATTGTACAATAAGGCCAAAAAGACAAGATCTAAAACTTATTCTACAGCTTATGTAACACTCCTAAGTTATTTTAAAAAGTTTTTGCGATTACTTATAATTTTAAAAGAGAGTTAAACTTAAACGTTCTTTTTCTCATTATCAATATTTAGTCACTTGTACTCCTTGGTTCCTAAACCAAATGTTAGAAGATGGGTACCACCTGAAAATGCAAAACTGTTTGAACGTACGGTCGAAGAAAAATTACAAAACGAAGAAACAGAAAACATAAACATCGAACAACTAAACCAGAAAATAGTCAAAGCTCTGAAACAAGCACAAGAAAAATGTTGCCCAAAAAACCAAAAAGACGAAGAAAAACTAAGTCTAAGCACGAAAACTCTATTAGAGGAAAGAAGACAACTAACAGATAAATACAGAACCAATCTAACAAAAATGAGACAACTAAACAAACAAATCACTAAGAACATCAGAAAAGATATAAGAGACTACAACACCAGAGAGATATCAAAAGTCATAGAAGAGAACAAAAGTTTAAAAGTCTTCAGAAGGAAACAGCAAATAGGAAAGAAAAATATTTACAAACTGAAAAACACAAAGGGCGAAATAATAACAGATAAACAGGAAATTCTACAAACTGTCGGACAATTTTACAGCGAACTCTACAGCAAAACAGAAGAAAATGTTCCAACTGACAACATACCAAAGGTTCTAAACCAGGGCTCGGAAGACATACCAGATGTTACTGTTGATGAAATCAAAAAAGCTCTCCTACAAATGAAAAATAACAAGTCACCTGGCGACGACGGGGTCGTTGCCGAAGCCAAAAAATTAGGAGGCGAGAAACTGATACAAATGCTTTCCATACTTTTCACAGAATGCCTGGAAAGAGGAACAACACCATCACAATGGCAAAATGCAGTGATCATTCTAATGTTTAAGAAAGGAGATTTAACAAATCTCATAAACTATAGACCAATCAGCCTCATCTCACACATATACAAGCTTTTTACAAAAGTCATAACAAACAGACTTTCGAACAAAATGGAGTTTTACCAATCATGCGAACAGGCAGGATTCAGGTCAGGCTTCGGCACAAACGACCATCTACAAGTTATTAAAAGCCTCATCAAAAAATTATAGAGTACAATAAACCCCTCGTCCTAATATTTGTGGATTATGAGAAAGCATTCGACACAGTAAACCACCAGAAAATGCTAGAAGCTTTAAAAGAGTGCCGAATAGATCACCGCTACACCACTGTCATCAAAAATATCTATGATAATGCCACGGCATGCGTCAGACTCCATGAAGATACACACAAGTTCAAAATTCATCGCGGAGTTCGCCAGGGCGACACCATTTCGCCAAAACTGTTTACAACATTATTGGAATACATGTGTAAGCGTGCAAACCTAGACGAAAAGGGCATAAACATAAATGGAGAGCAGCTTAGTCACCTCAGGTTCGCGGACGATATAGTCCTGATAACAGACCGCATAGATCATGCCATCGAAATGTGCGAAAGACTCTACCATGCCTCTACACAAGTGGGTTTAAAGATCAATAACTCAAAAACACAAGTGATGACAAACCTTGTTCTGAGTGAGAACATCAACATAGCTGGAACAAGTATAGAACAAACATCAGCATACAAATATCTGGGACACGAAATTCGCTTAAGTAGAGATAACCAGACCAATGAACTAATACGTAGAATAGGGTTGACATGGGCAGCTTATGGAAAGCTAAGAGATGTTTTCCAATCAGCCCTTCCCATCTGCTTGAAGAGAAAAGTCTTCGATCAATGTGTGCTGCCAGTTCTAACCTATGGTGCGGAGACGCTAACACTTACTAAGACGTCCGCAAACAAAATTCGAACAACACAGAGGGCAATGGAACGGTCCATGTTGGGATTAACCCTAAGAGACCGAATACCCAACACAGAATTGCGCCGTAGATCGGGAGTAACCGACGCAATCAAAAGAATATCAACCTTAAAATGGAACTGGGCAGGGCACGTCGCGAGAACGAAGGACGGCAGATGGACAAAACGCATTCTTGAGTGGAGACCCAGACAAGATGCCTTTAGAAATAGAGGACGACCACCAACAAGATGGACGGATGACCTGAAACGGACACATCAAAATTGGATGCAGGCGGCTCAGGACAGAAATTTGTGGGGTGAACTACGGGAGGCCTATGTTCAGCAGTGGACGAGTATGGGCTGAATGATGATGATGATGATGACTCCTTGGCTGCTAGGCTCCTCATATATTCTGAGATAATTTGCCAAATGCTGCCTTTCATTTCTACTATCTGATTTCCTGTATTACGTTTTATAAATTATTGTGCTTGGCGTTACAATTTTACGATTTACCAAAGGTTTTTCCAATCTTCTCGATAAATTATAAAAAATATTGTTTGAGTTATTCT